CATCATCAGTATCATCGTCGACATCACCATCATCATCAACAACATCAGCAGCATCATCATCAAAATCACCAACCTCAGCCTCATCACCGCCACCACCACCACCATCATCATCATCATCATCATCATCATCATCATCATAATCATAATCAGTATCATCATCATCCTTATCATCATCATCATCACAATCATCGCCAGCTTCATCATTGGCATAATCATCACCGTCATGGTTATCAGCAATACCATCATCATAATCATCATCAGCAGCATCGTCATCATCATCAGAATCAGCATCGTCGTCATCATGAACAGCTTCAGCATCAGCATCATCATAAGCATCATCATCATCGTCACCATCATCATCATCATCATCATCATCATCATCACCAACACCATTATCCTCATGCTCCTCCTAAGCAGAATCTGATTCACCGCCACCACCACCATCATCATCATCAACATCATCAGCAGCATCATCTTCATCATCATCAACATCAACATCAGCATCACCGCCATCATCATCATCATCATCATCATCAGCATCATCATTATCACCACCATCATATTCCACAGCATCATCAGCATCATCATCCTTGTCATCATTCCCATCATCATCAGCAGCAGCAGCAACAACATCATCCAAATCATCATCATCCTCATCACTGATCTACCAAGCCTGGAGACACGGTATCCCGCGTGACGGCCTCTCCTGCCCCCTCGAACAGTCGCCACCCAAAATACTGGGCTGGCACGGTGGCGGGATTTACCGCAGGCAGCTGGATATCACTGAAGGCAAAGATCTCTAAATGGCGGAAATGAGCTCACTGAAAACAAAAAACTTGGCGGCAATGAACTCACTGAAGACAAAGAGCTCCCAGAAGGCAAAAGTGAGCTCCTTGCCGGCATCCCTTTTCCTTCAGTGAGTTCATTGTCGAGGGGAGAAACAAATAACATAAACACAAGAACTCGGGGGTCCGCGCGGATTCCTCTGATCGGCGCTCGGGTCCCCTGGCAGAGCCTGGGGCGCCCCTGGCGCGCTCCGCGTGCCCGGGATGGGGGTCCAGCGCCGATCCGAGGAATCCGCGCAGACAGATCATGGCCCCGGCCATGATATCCACCCCCTCATCTCTCAGATCTGGCGTTGCAGAAAAAATGCAGCATCACGAAAAAACGCCACTGGAGCCCTGGACCCCATCTGTCTGCGCCATTGTTCGAGCCGGATCGATCTGAGAGGGTCTAGGGGCCCGAGACCGGGGAAGTCGCCCGCTGTGCAAAAATTGCAGCGTCAGGATCTGAAGGCTACTGGTCACTCTCCCACTTGTCGGCGACTCTGAAGGGTGTGGTGATGCAAAGGGTGTGGTCTGCAACCGGCACCCTGGGGGGCACCCTGGGGGGCGGGCGGCCGAGGACCTCCACGGAGTTCTCCCCCGCGCCCCGCGAAGGCCCGACGAGGACAGCGCAATGCTCCCCAGGCCCCAACGGTGCCGATCGCAGACCACGCCCCGGCGTACAGTCGGACCTAGGCCACAAGAACATCCCTCAAGAACATGAGACCCTCCGTCGGCCGAAGCAAACAGAACGCCTCTAAGCGTGCCCTCCCCAGGGTGCACAAGAACATCCCCAACAGACACAAAGAACACGAGGGTATACCCTCCCCGCCCCGAAGCGACCTCGATCTCATACCTCGGTCCGACCGTAACCCTGCCCTTTGTAGTCGCCGACTCTTGGCCGCCCCCGTCGGGGATCTACCGACCCGGGTCGATCCAGACCCGGGTCAGTCAGGCCTTGCAGGATCCTGCATCCAAGCCCAGGTCAGTGCAACCCTGGCTCTGCAGGATCCTGGAAGATCTGGCGCTCTGAACGACCCCCGCTTGCATCCCAGACATGCGACGTCCCGATTTGTTCAGGACGGCGCCCCTTGAAGTCCCGACCCTTTCCCCGGGACCCGTTTTTCATCCCGATTCGTTTTTTGACGGTCCCGAGGCCCCGCGGGGGCCCCCCGAGGCCGAAAACGGCAAAAAACTGCCCGTCCTGAGTTCTGTTGGAGGCGATCACGTCTGGGATGAACTCCCGTCTCTTGAGCCCCGGCCCCGATCACCAGCCGGTCGCCAGCCTTGAAAAGGGCCTCGAGCACCTGGACGGCGGGCGCCCGCCTCGTTCTGCTGGGCAACCCCACCCCCGCCGGGCGCAGGGGCGGGGGCGGGGAAGACGGGCAAGGAGCGGTCGGCCTCAAGCCGAGGATTTGTTTTGCCATCGCTGCAACCTTGGCCAAGCAATCATCACGCTCCTGCATAATAGCGTCTATGTCGCCACTGACTGCCTGAAAGATATGCTCCGGGCCTCAAGCCGAGGATACAGTCGAGACGCTGTCACAAGGAACCCTAAACACAGTACGGCGGGGGCATTGGACAAGGAACCCTTAGATAAGGAATCCACGGTCTGGAATCCAGTGGAATTCCGATCGTGGATCAGCCATGGGTATCACCGCCGCCCTCATCAGATAAGGAACCCTCCAGGGTCTGAAGCCCCCCGGGCACATTCCTTCACGAAAGCCCCCACCGTATTCGGCCTGACCTAAAGAACAACAAATAAGGAACGAAGCTCCTTTTTCTCCAAGTAAATCCAGGAAGGCTGAAGGAACACCAAAGGGACCCGCCGCCAAAAAGGTAGCGGAACGCATTCAAACCAAAGGAACGACCGAGCCCCTTTTCAAAAGTAAGTGTTCCTTACTCAAGCCGGACCCTGTAAGAAGCGAGGCCCCCTTTTTCCATCATAAGAAAACGCCTGAGAAAACTGGGAAGACCTAAGAAAACCGGAGCAAGAGGAACAACTCCGAACCCCCACAAAAGCCACAGGAAAGCCTAAGAAAAACCGTAAAACGATCAAGGAGCACTGAGCCCCCCCCAACGAGAAGGGACACTTCTTCAGCGGCCCGACGGTGTGTGCGGGGCCCAAGAGTGCACACCACTACCACCACCTTCATGTCCCCTTCGTTCCTCCACCGTCCACCGTCCTCTCCCCTACTCTTCCCTGGGAGAGGGAGGGGGGTGAGAGAGGCGGAGGTGGTGTACATGTTCTTGAGCCAGCAGGGAAAAACCTACACCACCACCACCACCACCACCACCACCACCACCCGCGCGCGGCGCCAGGTATGGTCCTCCCAGTGGTGTGGTCCCCCCCTCTCGCTCGAGACATCCATCCCCGTATCCCCAGTTCGGGGAGGCATCGTGGACCCCCTGACTGGAGGTGGCCTCACCTGGTGGTGGCGGTGGTGGTGGTGGTGGCGGTGGTGGTGGTGGTGTCGCCTCACCTTCCGACGAGAAGTCCGATCAGACAGGCATGAGACGGATCGACTTGCGAGATCGGATCGGATCGAAAACTGATCGGATCACCAGAATAAAACTCGCAACGCCGCGCCAGGCTCCGGCTGGCCCCAACTAATGACGGTGAGTCGAGCCAAATCGAATCGAAAGGGAATCGCGGCCCCAGACAGCGAATCGAATCGGATCGTAGGCGGTCCTGTTGGATCGGATCTGACGCCAGATGATGCGGCCACGTTTCGGCTGAAGCTCCAGGCTGTCCGCACGGCTCCCTCTCTGCCTCCTCCCCCGTTCCACCCATCCCCCGCCCAGTTGCTTTCTGAATTACCCCTCGGGCGCCACGCACGCCCTGCCCCTTCGCCCATAATCAGTCATCATCGAATCCGAATCGGGAAATCAGATCGGATCAGAATTTGCTTGGGGTCGGACCGCATCGGCGTGAGGTCAGGATCGAATCGAACCAGCCGCGCCCGGATGATCAGCATGATCCTTGCAGTCATCGGGCAACATCGGATCGCCAGGTCATCAGATATCGAAGTGGATCGAGCCCAAGGATATCGACATCTAACGGGTCATTTGGAGCGAGATGGATTGTGAAGGGGGAGAGTGATCGGATCGGGCTCGCAGAGCTCGGGGCGTTGCATCGAGGCCAAGTGCACCGCTTCCGAGGGGAGGAGGTGGAGAGGGAGGGACAGAAGATGAGAGGAGAAGGGAGTAGAAGGGAGGAGGAGAAGGGGAGGCAGAGGAGGAGCAGGAGGGCGGGGGGGGGACCAAAGGGCTGACTTGAAAACCTATTTTGGCCTCTTGGGGCCTCTTCGAACTCTCTTGGGCAAACTGTGGGCCCGGAGGCGCTCTCGCGACAACAGGCACTGGAACGAGCCCTGCGCGCAAGACCCTCGCCACGGCCAGAACACGAGGGCGGGGGGGGGAGAAGGAGCGGATGGGCGGAGGAGGGGAGAAGCAGGGAGCGAGGGCGGGAGAAAGAGGGGAGAAGGAAGGGAGAAGGAAGGGAGAAGGAAGGGGGGAAGGGGGCGAGGGGGGAGAGAAGGAGAGGATGGAGGGAGGAAAGGGGACTGGGACATCCGACGCTTCGATGTTTCGATCCTTAGGCCCCCGGACCTTCGGCCCTTTCCCCCAAGGCTGGCTGCTCGTCCCAGATCGTTATCTTGAAAGCCCCAGGGCCCCAAAGCTGGCAGCTGAACGCCAACAACGGCAACAAAATGGCCCGCCTCGATGGTTTCGAGGCTCCGGATGCGTTGAACAGGTCGGAGAAGCAATTTATTCAACGAAGGACCTGGCGGTTCCTGTCCCCGACATTGCGGGATTCTCGGCTGAACTCAGAGCGTGCCCAGCCCGGAAATGCACGATGGACAGCGTCCATCTTCGATTGGGGTGCGCCCGAGTAGCCGCCTGGGGGTGCATCGGCAGCCCCCTTGTCTTCTCTGAGCGGGCAACTGATTGGGGGGGGCACTCGGGGATTGGTTTATGTTGCCCCCATCGTATTTCGAGCACCCGGGAAATTGTCAAAAGAGTCGAAAGAGTGTCAAACAGTGTCGGACGAGTGTCTCCCAGGGCCCGACATGTGAAAACCCTCGAGTTTTCGGATACTTTCTTGGTGCTCGAAATTATTTCTGGTGGCTCAGGCTAAAGTAGGTTGGAACATCATAAGGATTGGGGGGCGAGAAGTCGAGGCGACAACTGGAGGACGGAGGGCCCCAACACGGCATGGCCGAGGCGCACAAGGCCAGGGCGCTGAAGGCCAGGGCGCGCGGCCGGGCGCGGGAGGACATGGGGGCTGGCGGCTGCAACAGGGGCGAATGGCCCAGGAGGAGGAGATGAGCAGGAGGAGGAGGAGGAGGAACAGCAGGAGCAGGAGGAAGGGGAAGAGAGAAGGAGGAGGAGGAGGAGGAGGAGGAGGAGGAGGTGGAGGAGGATGAGGAGGAGGATGAGGAGGAGGAGGAGGAGGAGGAGGAGGAGGGAGAAGAGGAAAAGGAGGCTGCTGGGATCGGCCTCGGAAAGCACTGTAAACCAATGAAGGGAAACTGGGACACACAAATAAATACACACAAATAAAAAGATTCCCCATATTTTCCTATATTTTCTGGGTTTTTGTCTTCCCCACCACTTCCCATATTTTCGCATATTTTCTGGGATTCGACGAATAATTGTGTCTGTGTGTTTTTTCTCCTCCTGAACCAATAAAACAAACTACCACTCCTCATCCTTCACATCGCTCGTCGATGGGAAGCCCGAGCCGCGGTTTGCAGCCGACCGGGTGGCCACCCTCTGGCCGCGCAGCCGCACCCACGGGAGGTCAGGTTCAGCGAGGCCGAACGCACAGAGTACGGCCCGCCGCGGCGACATCTCTGGTGAAGCCGCGCGCCCTCCTCCATCACGTGGCCGGGCGGGCGTAGCCAACGTAGGGCTGGCGACATGCGAGAAAATTGCATGCAACTGCTGGCGTTCATCCCAGGGGACGCCCTCGGGTGGCGCAAGTTTCAAGCCCCGCGCTGCCTTGCGGTAGTGGGGATGGTCTCCTTTCGAAAGTTTTGACAATTTGTTCTTTGAGATTCGAGCCGACCATCGGGCCCTTCCAGAAAGAACGCATGCACTCCCTCGAGGCCTTGCCCAGAAATAGGTCCCGCAACGGTAGCAGGAAATGAGCCGCATCCCAGTTTTCCCCTGGATGTCGGCGCTCAGCAACGCATGGCCCACCACCCGAAACGCGACTTGCTCGTAGTCGCGCCACGCTGGGGCCCACTGCATGAACAATTCTGGAAAAGGCGGAGGAGGCGGAGGAGGAGGAGGGGGAGGAGGAGGCTGAAGGGGCAGGTCAGAAGCGCTTGCTTTCAGGATCGCGGCACCACCCTCGGCCCCTCTGAGGCTCCTGCGCGGCGTCCTCCTTGCCGGTACGCCTGCCCAGAACGTCCTCTCGGTCTGGAGGCCCGTTGTCTGCGACATGGCTGTGCAGCTGCCCCGTCCACTGGCCCATCTCCAACGCGATGTCCTCCAGACCAGCCCACAAATGGGCAGCAGCGACAGCGACGCCATGCAAGGCGGCCTCCGCCTTGGCCAGCTCGTCGGCCTTGGCATTCGCGCCGCCTTTCCATGGCGGTCGCCATGCCGCCGTCTACGTCTGCCTGCATCGCGTGGGCGAGGGTCTTGTGGATGGTAACATCACAAGGCACAAACGCCCCCCAGCATTTGCCCCACCAATGTAGTCGGTCATCTGCCGTCCTGGCGCCAGTCGCAGCGCCGCCACTCACGACGCCGACGGCGCCCTTACAATTCACATACAAATCGACGGGGGCGACCAGAGGGAGCACCACGCTGACGACGGAACCCACCCATCACGGACGGTCTGGAATGGCGCCTCGCTGCGCGGGACGGCCCCGTAGACCGCCGATGCCAGCTTGCACGGCCTGCCCACCTGGACCAGCGCCCACCCCGCTCTGGAAAGACACGCGATGGTTGGGAAGAGGGCTAAGCCATCGCTGAAGATGCGCCCTCTCAGGAGGCCGTCGCTGCTTCGGTATATCCAATGCATCTCGAACGGCACATATGGGAAGACAGTGAGAGGGCGTGGGTCTGGCAAGACGCCTCTGGCCACTCTCCTGCTGCGCACCTCCATGCGCGCGCTGCCAGGGCTCGTCGCCTGGCCTCCGGCGATAGGCACTGTCGGCGACAAGGCTCGTAGGCGGGGCACTCGAAGCAGCGGCGCCACTGCGCGCCCTCCGCGGCCCCGCGCGCCAGACAAACACCAGAAGCCACCGGCCCACGGGCAGCGATCCGCGCTTGCCCGCGCAAGGGGTGGCCAGAAAACGGGTGCCGAAGGCGCGCCGCCCAGCGCGCCTGGGGCGCCATCGCCCTTCCCCCATCCGCCGCGCGTGTTATCCAGCGCCTCATTGTCGGACGCATTGGCGGCGGCCCGGGCCGCCAGGCGCTTCGCCCGGTTGGGCGGCAACTGCCGCGCGTCGCGGGCGACGCCGTCACCACCGACAACCCGAAGCACCGTGCTGCTGTCGAAGGCCCGACCGATCGCCTCCAGGGCCATGACCGCGACGTCCGCAGGAGCGGCGACCAGCCTCCAGACCGCCGGCGGCGCGGAGCACTTCGTAAGGGCGTCTCACATGACGACCTCGAGCATGCGAGGCTTCGGGGTCGCCTCACACACCGCCGAGATCCACATCCAGACCGCCTGCGCTGCCGCGAGCACGAACGGGTCGTAGTCGACGCCCCTTCTTGAAAGGATGCAGCCGCAAGCCAATCGCCACCCCTTCGGGCGCCCGCCAAGCTCTGCACCGCGGCCACCCGCAGCCCGTTGAGCGCTCCGCTGGCGACGCCTTGGACTGCGGACCCCGACACGGCGGCGGCCGCACCTCCAGGCGCTGCAATAATTAGCCAAATCTCGGCCCCTGCATGCCGGAGCATCCGCGCCAGCGCGGCGCGGCAGCAAGCCTCCTGCTCAGCCCTGCCCCCGGCCCCTGACCGCGGCAACCCTCCTGGCCACCCCAATTGTCACATCGGTGCCCAACGAGCGAGCGCCGTAGACCCTCGCTGTTGCGGACAGCGACCAGCGCTGCTGGAGGGCGTCTGCCACCTGCGCGCTGGGCGCGAGGCAAACGCACTTCTTCCGCGAAGTGGGCAGCTCCAGCCGCGTCATATCCACGAGCAGCGTCTCGGCGCCAACGCTGACCTGATGAGCCACGAGGTCGACGGCGCCCACCGCCTGGAGCTCGACGTCTCCCAATACGCCGCGCGCGCAGAGCTGCGGACGAGGACCGGCAACCATTAACAATGGCGCCAACCACAAAAGTCCAGCCAACGATGTCGCCGCAGAGCAGCCTGCAATGACAGCCCCGCTCGCCTGGTAGATGCCCGAGATCGCGCCTCCGAAGACGAGGGCGCGCTCCCCCGCGCAAAGCACGCAGAGCCCTGGGAGCAGCATCAGCGTGAAGCCAAACCAGAAGGCGGCCGCGCACAAGAAGCGTAGACGAATTTGTTCGTAGAACTTCCTCTGGCCCAGCACGGCCGTCGCACGTGACGCGCCTGCCGCTCGCCCGATGCCAGCCAACACGCCACGCAACCACCCCGCCCTATCACAGGAGGTCTTGACAGAGCCTCCCCAGAAGAAGGGGCGAGCTTTGCAAAACCCCCATGCATCGCACTCCTCCTGGCGCATCTTCGACAACAACTTGGGGAAGGGCGCGAGTAGTCCGACGGGCCTCAACGCCCCCCCCCCGGCTTCGCCAGTAACATCAGTTAGGCGATGGAATCGCCGAGCACCTGCGGCCTGCGCCCGAACAGGCCCAGCAGCCACAGGAAACAGATTTGGAATTCCTCGGGGAACTGCAAGATCCACTTGAAATGGAAGTTACTCCAGCCTAGTCCGGCAGCCCCCGAATAAGATTTGCAATCCTTGCGCCAGTCGCCCAGCGTCAGCGGCTCCAGTTCGCTCCCGCCCGCACCCCACTCCAGGGCGCGCCCGTCGACCACGCGGCTGCTCGCGCGCCAGAGCGGCACCCAGTCTGCCACTAACTTCTCGATAGCCTCCTGGCCGTTCACCGGGGGGACACACTCCTTCGCCTCGCCCACCAAGTCCTCCTGAGTGCCGCGCCAGGACTGGGCAAAACAGCGGGCTACTATTCCGCCTTTCAGCACAGCGCGGTGGGCCCCGGCCCTCCAGCCCTCCAGCTGCTCGCGAGCGTCGGCCATCCGTCGCGCCTGCACCTCGCGCCCCAGCCCCCCCCAATCGTCGTTGTTGACGACGCCCCTGGCGGTGGTCACCTGGTGGAGAATCCTGCGCAACGTCGCGCTGATACACCCACCCCCCTCCTTTTCCTGCATGTCCCCCACCATGTCCCAGACCTTGGCCTCCCAAGTTCCGAGCCTCGTTCGCCCGGGTCGCCCAGGATGAGAACGCGCGATGGCGCTCGCCCGCCTGCATAGCGCCTGGAAGGCTACCCACGTGCAAATGGACGGCGGAGCCCTCCTCCTGAGCTCGCGTTCCCATGCCACACATACTGGTACGTACCTTCACAGTGCGGGGACCCCTGGAGCGGCCGACGCACTTTCAACGACCGAGCTCGCCGACGCCGTGGAGGTCGGCCAAAAACCATTCGGCCCGATCGAACCAATCCTTCGCCAGCCTCTCCATGTCCTCACCTGGGTCATCTGTTGCGGGCGTGGCCCAACAGGCTGTCGTAAACTCACGCTACGGACCAATGGGAACATCGACGCTGAAGCGTTTGAAACGCACGGGGCGCTCCACCTTCCGCATGCCCCGCAGGCCGGTCATCCGTAGCAAAAGGGCTGCGCGGGCTGCACGGCGCCTCGTCTAGCTCGGCCACCTGCAAAACGCACGCCGCAAGGACCTCGGCCACGATGGAATAGTCCAAGACCCTCCCCTTGGACGGGTCGGCAGCCAGTTCGGGGGAAATGCCAGGAGGGCCCTGGTCGCCGGCCTCTCCTGCCACAACGGCCCCTGCCTCTCCAACCGAATCGGGTTCCGGCGAGGGCTGTCCAGCAGTCGGCAAGCACGTGGTAAACGGAGGTGCCACTATGGCACCACCCACTCTTCATCCAGCCCACCGCCTCCGGCACCCCCGGGGTCACCAGTCACGCTGGAAGCTACACGGCTCGCTTCTGCGTTGCAGGAACGTGCCCACAGCCTACAGCCTACAGCAAGTCAAGGTTCTCGCCACCCGGTCCGACTGCCCTCATCCCGTAGACCGAGACTGCCAAGATACCTTCAGGGAAGCCTATGTTGAGGTGCCGCACCGCGATCCTGCTTGTCCACTCGTCCAGGGCAGGTGGACGCAGGGATCAGGAGGGAATGACCTCGTTGACCAGGACCCCCATTCCAGATGTACTTTCGGTGGCCCCTGGACCAGTCGAGCTGGTCACGCCTAAGGTCAGCTGCATGTGCCGATCGCGGGACCATGTCTCAGCCGAGGTAGCCCTCTTCGCGGCATTGATGCGCGTCTCCTGCACAAACGTCAAGTGTGGCCAAGGGCTGCTCGCCGTCAGCCCGAACGACTCCAACTTGCCTACCTTCGCCTCGTCCGCCAGCCAGTCCACCACCAACGCAAAGGAGTTCCAGCTGTCGGCGTTGCCCCCTACAAGGACCAAGTCAGCATGCTCCTCGTCCGGCGGCGGCGGCGGCCCCCTCCGCAAGGCCCCCTCGCTGCCACCACCCCTGCCCTGTCGGGCGGCTTTGCGATTGCTAGCCGCCGCTGCGCTCCCCTGGTCTCTCAACCCAGGTTCGCTCACATCCCAATGCCACCTCCCATGCTGGCAGAATCATGTTGATCTTGAAAGGGCAGAACTCCACGGGGCACAGCTGCAGAAGGTCGGTTGCACCAGGGAGTCGGCACTGAAGACGTTGCCGACCCTTGTGCTTCCCAAGCCTGCCCTGCACCTGTTTGAGCTGCTTGTAGATATTCTGGCCCGCTGTGTCCAGTCTGGCCTTCTTGGCTTCGACCTCCTCAGCCTCTCCTCCCCCCTCGTCCTCGCCCATCGCCGCCTGGATGTTGCATTCGCGCTCGTCCGGAGGCAGCGCTTCCAAGTCCCCGAAGACGGAGTCGGCCTCGGATGGAGGGATGGCTTGAGCAGCACGCTGCCCAGCCGCAGGTCCAGGAGCATCAGCAACCGGAGCAGCAGGAGGCGGGGCGCCAGCCGCTGCCGAGGGCATTGCTGGTGCCTGTTGCGCCTGCGCGTCTGCCGTTGCCTGGGCCACGACCTTGGGCACCGGATGCTGGCGGATTGGGCCCACGTACTGCCGGGTGAGCTCGGAACGCCCGAGCCGTTCGCCCATCTTCTCGAGGGAAGCCATGGCGACCTCGGGCTGCCGCGCGGCAGGCCCCCTGCCCGGCCTCTGCCTCCAGCCTCTGCGAGACGATCCGCGCCTGCGCCTGCATCTCCTTGATCTGCTGCTCGTCGTGGTTCTCCTCCTGCCACTCCTTGATGTCCGCCCAGGTCGTCTCGCAGTTCGCCGTGCGCTGCTCAACACCCCTCTTCGAAGATCTTTTTTATTCTTATTATTATCATTATTCTTAGTATTCGTCTTAGTATTCTTATTATGATTATTATTATTCTTACTATTCTTTTATTATGCTTATTAGTATTATTATTCTTATTAGTATTCTTCTTCTTATTATTATTACTATTCTTCTTATTCTTATTATTATTATTCTTCTTATTATTCTTCTTATTATTATTCTTCTTCCTATTATTACGATTCGTATTATTATTCTTCTTCTTATTATTATTATTCTTATTATTCTTATTATTATTAGTCTTCTTATTATTATTGTTATTACTATTAGTATTAGCATTGATATTATTATTATTATATTTCTTCTTATTATTATGCTTCTTCTTATTCTTGGCGATCGCGTCCTGCAACGAGCGGATCCGGGTCGCCGAGGGCTTGTCGGCCAGGATCCGCTGCTGCTGGGCTTTGATGTCCGCTTCTTTGGCGGCCACCACCTCCTCCCCTTTCGGCATCTGGAGCTGCTTGAGAATCTCGAGGGCGTGCTTGAGGATGGCGAGGTCGGCATGCAAGGCAGCCTCAGTCGGCTCCTCCTGATCCACCTCCCCCCCCCCTTCCCGGCCTTGAGCTGCTGGACCTCCTGGCGCAGCTTGGCCAGCTCGGCGTCCTTCTCTTTGAGCTGCGCCACCTGCCGCACAGAGGCCGGAGGCGCACTGCCCTCCTAAAAGTCACGAAGGTACGCCTGCTTCTTGTGACGACCACACTTCTTGCACGCCTTGTCTGAGGCCATGTTGAAGAAGGGCTGGCCCCCGTTGTTGAGGCACTTGTTGCACACCCACTTCGCGAAATCCTTCGCCATGGTCGGCACCGCGGAGCCGTGGTGCGAGTCAAGCCGGCAGGCCGCCTCTTCCAGGCGGCGCGCCAGGCGAGGCGTGAGCCGGCCCCGCCAAGCGTGTAGTAGGTCGCGCGAGGCGGCTCGCTCCACCCGGGCCTGGTGATGCCAAGCCTCCTCCCGTGGCGCGGAGATGACGGGCGAGTTGTGCGCTGGTCTCAGGGCAGGACTGGTGCTGGAAAAGGTTCGCAACTGGCGTGCAGCTGCCCCCAAAAGCCTCCTGCCGGCACCCCTGGGCCGAAACTCGGAGGAGGAGGGGGAGAAAGAGAAGGAGGAGGAGGAGGAGGAGGCTCTGCACTCATCCAGAGGCTCCGATAGCCACTGTTTTCGACGGGGTTCCCCCGCGAATGCGTGCAATGCCCGCTCCCATGGGCTGACCGCCCCCTCTTGCCTCCGCCGAGAGCGGGCGCACCTGCAGGCTGGCCTGCCCCGCCGCTCTGGTGACCTGGCGCCAGAGCTGAAGGCCCAGGAGGGGCGGGCAGGGACGACAACGACGACCTTTTGAAAACCTCTCCCTCCTACCCAGACCTCCTCTCGCTGCAAAGAAATCGTGGCCGGAGTGTTGCCACCTTCCGTCCCTGACCGAACGCCAGGAACGTAAAACAACAACGAGGACTCAGCATCGAAAACTGTAACGCAGACAACGTCCCGACTTGCAAATTGCGGAAGAAGGCACGTCGTCGGAGTCTGGATTGTGTACCCCTCCCTTGTACCCGCCCTCTACATTTGCCATTCAACAGGCTCTGTGTCACACAAAATGCACGGCAAGCGCCAAAAAAGCACGCGTGAGAGAGAGAGAGACAGACACAAACACAACTCAGTCACCACCCAGATACATATACATGTACATAAACATATACGCAACCATATGCGTATCCATATGGAAATATGTACAAATGTGTACATGCATATGCCTACAAGGACATGCATATGACTGTATATATGCATACAAATGCATACACGTGTATATACACCTACGTATACATATGCATAAGTGTGCATATACGTAGCATATACAAATACATGTACACATACATTTACATATATAGATATGTGTCAAATAGCCATATGCGATGATATGTAAGTGTACGTGCACATGTACATACACATATATAACATATACACGGATAGATGTGCGCATACCTGCACAGATATGCATATGCATATACACATACGCAAAATATTGCAGAACCATATGCATATGCATTACAGCTATGATTAAACATATAAATGTGCATGCACATATACATACACATGTCAGCATACACTCAAATACGACCGATTTCTAAATGTGCATAAACATATGCATGCTTATATATACCTTTTTTATATATATATATATATACATACATAGACTGCACATGCATATACATACGCATGTACGTATACGTGCACATATATATATATACATACATACATACATATATATATATATATATATATGCATCGACACGTACATCTACACACACCCACATACATAAAAAAAGAAATATAAAGACAAAATGGTATGAGAGAGACCGAGAGGGAGGGAGAAATAAGGACAGACGCAAAAAGGGATGTACATTATATCCGAGGGCCCCTAGGCTCAATGCTGTGCTTCTGCTGCAGCCAAGATTCTAGAATCTTGAAGGCCCAGCCAGACCTTTGGTTTCCCGGGCGCTCTCGGGGGGGGGGGGGGCTGGAGTTCAAGGGGTATGCCGCGCGCGTCTTCTGGGAGCCAGAAGAGTACAAAGACGGCCACACGGAAACTGTGGGGAGGCCGCGGAGTCGGTCCAAGAGGGCCACGAGTCGCCTCATGCCCACACGCCCAAGATGTCCTCAATATGGCCACAGAGGCCCCCAAGAAGCCCCAATTGAGTCCAAACAGTTCTCCAAGGAAGGCCCTCTGATGCCAAAGTCATTGGTTTGATTCAGTGCATGATGAAGTTTAGCCTTCTCGCCTGTTTCAGATTGCAGCGCTCCAAGACGGCCGAAGAAGCCCCCGATAGCGCCCCAAGACTGCCCAGGAGGCCCCCAGGAGGGCCACAAGGCCACAAAAACTGCCCAAGAGGCATCCAAGAGGGCCACAAGAAAAACCCACAAGGGGAACACGAGCCTTCCGCCCCAAGATGGCCCTAATGGACCCCAGAAAATCCCGAGGCCCCCTCAAGACGGCCCAAAAAGCCCCAAAGAGGCACCTAAGACGCCCCACGAAGCCCCCGTGAGGTCCCCCCAAAGCCCCCAAGTCACCCCCAAGAGACCCCCAAGAAGCATCACAAGAGATCCTCATATGTATTTAAACAGGCCTGTGAACCACAACTCTGGCATGGTGGCGGGATAGGCCGAACGCCAGGAAACAGCCAGCTAGACGCGCGTATGCACACACATACACATATATATATATATATACATATACATATGTATGTGTAAATGTATGTAAATATATACAGATTTAATTATGCATATATATGAGAACAGATACATACACACATGTTTGTATACATATATGTAAATATACATACATACATACATGCATACATACAGACAGACAGACAGACAGGCAGACAGACAGACAGACAGGCAGACATACACACACACAGACATACATACATACATACATACATACATACATACATACATACATACATACATACATATATATATATATATATATACATACAGCCATCAACCATGCCACTGGCGGTACACACATGCACATGTATAGACATGTGTGCATCTAAAATACGATGGGAATGGAACGAGGTACCATGCAGTGTATCTGCATGCATATACTCATTATACAGATGAGGGGTGGACGTGACTGTACATATGTATATATATACATAGATCGTGTGATATGTACGCATACAAAAATATATATATTAGAGTGAACTGTACACACATACCAAGACTGGAACCACGTGCGCACTTCGCGCGCGCCTAGGTTCTAGCGATGACGCTCACGAGCGCAAGCTCGACTTGGAGCGCGTAGGAGGGTGTCCTCGACGACGACGACGCAGAGAACGGCTGCGACAACGGTGACAAAGACCAACGAGGACGTCCTGCCTTCGGTGTTCATATGTCTTGCGCCGACGCTGGGGCTCTTCGAACGTCGATGAAACCGTCATCGCTGAACTCTCCCGCTGTCTTTTGTTCCGATCCCTTCATCTCCATGGCCTCGCCCCCCTCCTGCGCCTCGTCCTCAACTTTTTCCCCTTCCTCTTCATCCTGTCTCTCCTTCTCTGTGTATTATGTATTGTTATCATGCTTTCCTCCCCTTCCTCCTCCTCCCTTTCCTCTCCCTCCGCCTCCCCCCATTCCTCCTGCCCTGAGTCCTCTTCATCGTGCGCCTCCTGCCTCCTCTTCCTCGTCCTCCTCCTCCTCCCCCTCTTTTATTTGCCTCCTCCTCCTCCTCCTTCTCCTGCTCCTTTTCCTCCTCCTCCTCCTCCTCCTCGTCCATTCCCCTATTCCTTCTCCTTCCAGATCGCTCCTCCCTGTCGCACCCCGAGGCCAGTTTTTACGGCGGGCCCGACGTTTCGCCTAAGACTTCCTCATCACTCATGGCTTTGAAGTTTAAAAGTGATAACAGCTTCACAGATGGAGGGCAGGTCGCTTTCAAAATGTGGCTCACGCCTTAGCGCTGCGCACATTCGTTTTGAAAAAGTGGAAGAGTTTCACTGATTCAAGGCGTGTCGTTTTCAAAATGTGATTCTCGCCTTAGCGCCGCGAACACTCGTTGTAACACATTGCAAGAATTCACGGATTGAACCAAGGTCGTTTTCAAAATGTGGCTCGCCTTAGCGCCGCGAACACTCGCTGCAAAAGTTTGCAAAAGTTTCACGGTTAGAAGCCGGGTCGCTTTCAAAATGTGGCTGTCACCTTAGCGCCGCGCACCATTTCAAGATTTTCATGGATTGAAGTCGGGTCGTTTTCAAAATGTGGCTATCGCCTTAGCGCCGCGCACACTCGTTTTTAACATTTGCACGAGCTTCACGGATTGAGGGCGGCTCCTTTTCAAGATGTGGCTCTCTCCTTAGCGCCGCGCACACCCGTATTGAGAATGTGTCCGAGTTTCACGGATGCCCATGATCAGCGTACCAGAGATGGTGTTGAGGAAGGGTTCATGATTGTGCGGGCGCAACAGTTACGTTGATTCTCTGAGTTGAAGTCCTAGGATCGGCGTTCTGACGATTCTGGATCGTCAAGACGCAGCAGTCAGGTTGATACATTGCGTTTCAAGATCTTCAAGCTGTTTTCTTCCAGCGAGGCAGTTCCCTCAATGCAAATGCACCGCTGTAGGGGCCTATGAAGAAGGAGTTTGGAGGGAGGGTTAGTTCCAACATCATTGATGACTCTTGGGGTTCCACTGGTCCTCCTCCTCCTCGTGTTTCTCCTCCTCCTCCTTTCCTCCTCCTCCTCCTCTTCCTCCTCTTCCGCCCCCAGCCTCCTCCTCCTTCTCCTCCGCTTCCGCCTCCGCCTCCGCCTCCTCCTCCTCCTCGTCCTCACCATCATCATCATCATCATCATCATCATCATCATCATCATCATCATCATCCTCATCGTCATCCTCACCCTCAATAGCATCATCATCATCATCAGCATCATCATCATCATCATCATCATCATCATCATCATCATCATCATCGTCATCGTCATCATCATCATCATCATCATCATCATCATCATCATCATCATCATCATCCTTCTCCTCCTCCTCCTCCTCTTCCTCCTCCTCTTCCTCCTCCTCCTCCTCCTCCTCCTCCTCCTCCTCCTCCTCCTCCTCCCCCTCCTCTTTCTCATCCGCCCCCCCTCCCCCTCCTCCTCCGCCTCCTTCTCCTGCTTCTCCATCCCTTTTCTTACAAATGGTTTTTCCACGTCGCACCCCGAACCAGTTTTTAGGGCGGGCCGGGCGTTTCCCGTCAGACGTCCTCACCTTTTATAATCCTGAAGCACTGATGGGGGATGGAGGGCGGGTGGTTTCCAAAATGCGGCTCTCGCCTTCGCGCCGCGAACACTCATTGCAAAAGTTTGCAAGAGCTTCACGGATTGAGGGCGAGTGGTTTTCAAAATGTGATTCTCGCCATAGCGCCGCGCACACTCGATGCAAATACTTGCAAGGGATTGGGGGCGGGTCGTTTTCAAAATGTGGCCTTCGCTTTGGTGCCGCGCACACCCGTTGCAAACAAATGCAAGAGCTTCAAGGATTGAGGGCGGTCCCTTGTCAAAATGTTGCTCTCGCCTTAGCGACGCGCACATTCGTTTGCAAAGATTTCAAGAGTTTCACGGATTCCCATCATCAACATACCAGCAACTGAATTCTGGAAGGATTCAGAATTATGCGGGCGAGATAATTACGTTAATTGTCTGCGTTGAAATCCTAGGAATGGCGTTCTGGCACAATTCAGGATCGTCAAGACGCAACGGTCAGGTTGATCCGTGGCGTTGGAATCCCGGGAACAATTTTTC